ACTACATCGGCTTTAGCCAACCTATCGTGATAATGTGCTCGTTTTTATAAGCATTAACGGAACTTCCTACCGGGTACCCATGCACTGTGAATCTGAGATGGGTGGAGAGTGACAAATGTAGACTACTGTCTTGCCAAATGACAGTAGTGCCGTGGTGGGACTCGAACAGCAAACCATGTGATTTACAATCAAACAATCTATCCACTAGAATAGACCACAACACCTCTACACGTATCGCAACTAGTCATGCTAGCAAACATTTTGTAAAACTCTGACGTATACAAGTCATATTACATTGCATCAGTTGGAGCCCATGGTTAAAAGTAAACCGTGGAAATCAAAACAAAAAAAATAGACATGAGTCTCAGAAATGTAGTTTACCATTCACATTTTAGCACTTTGTTATCAGAAAAAAATAATCATAACATTATTTCTTCATTGATATGAAACCAAGTATCATGTTATATTGATGATGATGTCATACAATGGAGATGAGTTTAACTCTCATCACCCTAGTCATACAATGAGCCACAATAATAGCTGCACATGCACCGGGCGAAATAAACTTGCTTTGGAGTCTTATACCAAGAGTATCAAACGTGTGCTATTCATCTCTCTCGAGTGTTCATCTATGTACCTTTAAATAAGAGTGCATAACCCCAAGTTCTACAAATTTCGTAAAATTTGAACGAAAAAAAAAATACGTTCCATGATCTGCCTTCAGATATGATGCAGATAAATATACCTTATTCTTAACATTGAGTCTAGGCTTTGAACAACTCTAAAACTTAGTAGGCAACACATTGTACTAATTTTAAAGCTGAAGAGCTAGGTATCGAAAGCAGAACTATAAACATGTACTTATGCACACTGAAATATACTATTACAAAATCATCATGACATGATTGTACGGAGAAAATTATATGGCTCTGGTTTGGCAGAATCATTAACTGAAATATACATGTATTAGCTGTATGTTTAAAGGTAAAGACCAGTTATGGTCATGCGATTGCATTGTGAAAGAAACGTTGTGGAATCGATCAGAAAAGGTTGATCATCTAGCATCTAGCATCTGCAAGGTTCTGGAATCATCAAAATGATAAGAAATTTGGCCCATTCTTCGTAAAGTTACAAGCACTATACACAGAAAGATGTATATGGGACTACCCTATATCTCTCACAGACAAACAAATTTACCAAATATATGAATTAGTAGGCGGTTTCCCGGCAGATTTTTTATCATCATGTATTATTCAAAACATATTCTTTCACATGATTGGTAATGAGAGTTTCCATTTCATTTTTTGAAATTGGGGCGTTTCCAATACTGGTCTTTACCTTTAATAAGAATCGGATAATTGGGTCTACCAGAAATATTTCCTATGTGTGTTCATATATCTACATAACATGTAAGAATAATAATTCATGTCAACTTTGTAATTTAAATCATAATAACACACCAATATCGTCTCATTTCCCCCCAGGACAAAGAAACACTGAGAAATTATACCTATGAACGATATCAATATGATCAGAGGTCTTATAATGCGACAACCGTTACTTCCGGGTTCACGATCAAGTACATTAAACTCTTATGGTCTGGTTTCAAAGCTCTGTTTTTATTTTTTTAATTTTTTTAACCTGTTTCTTCATAGTAAAAACAAACGAATATAATTTCCTAAACACCAGTCATTCTCAACTTAGTCTTGGCTCAATCGCTGTCCATGTATAGACCCAGACCTAACTATTTCAGTCTAATGGAAATGATAATTTTACAAACCAGATATAAACAAAGTCTCAAAAGTGTCTGGGAGTTGGCCTATAATGACATGAATGTACGACGATAAAAAAACGAAAATATTGCAAAATGTCACTGCATTTCTTTTGGAAATGATATACATGTACATGTATATTTAAATTTACTCACGTCTTTTCCTGTCAGTACATTGTACGTATCGGTCTAGGTGTTATATGAAATCAGTAAACATGTATACTCTCTGCATGCCTTTACAATGAAGTGGTGCCCTGATCATACGTGGTACTCAATGTTTGTATTTAGCTTGTCATTCTAATTTTAGTGACTGGGAATTCCCAGTAACCTTTGACAGACAACCAGATTGAAATCGCCCGATACAACCTTGATCTAAATTTGTCAAGCGTCTGTCGGGCCGCCATATTCCCGTGTCAAACTTGAATTCTATTTCTTTAACCCCCCCCCCCCTCTCTATCCAGGCGCGCCGGAAGCAGTTTGGGATTGGTGGGGGGGGGGGGGCAAATATTCCAGGGGGCTCACCTTCCAGGGGCAGTGGCGTAATGAGCAAAAACGTTTCGGGGGAGGGCAGAAGAAGAATGTGCATCACCACCACTCTTACAGGCCCCACGGAACATTTTTCAAAGTGGAGTATTAACGATCAGGTTAGAGTGTAGCGAGCGAAAACTGGCGTGGGGTCCAGGGGCTTTGCATCGGCGAGGGTCTAGGGCTAAGCCCCCAGAAGATCATGGTTTTTAGGGGTTAAATTACGGTCAGATGTTCTTTTTCTCTTTTTAAAAAAAGTGAGGGGGACTCGAGCCCCCGAGCCCCGCCGTTCTGCAGGCCCTGACATGAAGGCTTTTAAATAAGCATATTTTTTTGCGCGACTGTTATTTTGGGATTTAGTAATTCTCCAACAAATACATAAGAACGTATGAAATTAGAAAGAAAAAAATGTCAGAAAATCATATCATTTAGCAACATTTGTAAATCACTGGTTTCGAATTAGAAATACCCCCCCCCCACCCATTAGTACGCCAGTGTTCAGGGCCTCATGTCTTCTCACCTTTATAATAAAAAACATACACACTTTCCCGTCCTCTTACAACATTTCCACGATGTGCGCGAATCGCATTTATTATAAAAACCTCCTTAGGGGCATGCGGAATGTATACGACATTAAATTCCTGTTAACTTTCCTTTTCTTTTAATGGAATATGATTTATATGTGATTCAATTCAGGTTTTGTTCTTTTTTATGTTCTTTTCGGTTAAAAAATACAAACCATCTTTAATTACTCCCTAACTTTTTTATCTTTTTGCTTTTTGCTTTCTAGGAAGTGCCCCTTTTCCTTATGCTAAGTGCCCCCATTTAAAAAAGAGCCCCTATCTCAAAAATGCCCCTTTTAACCTACGAAAAGTGCCCCTTTTCATCTCTGATAAATGACCCTTTTCAGTATTGAGAAGTTACTCCTTTTCCCTTCAGATAAGTCCCCTTCCCCTCCTGATAAATGCTCTTTTCATCTCTGATAAATGCCCCTTTTCACCTCTAATTGCTGCCCCTCTTTATTTATTTTTTTAGCCGAGGACGCAGGTTCACAACTGAGTCACGTCTTTCGGATGGTGACGTTAAAATTCGTAAATAGACGTAAATAATGATATCTGATTGATACACGTCTGTAAAAACGCGATTACACACACACACACACCCCCCTTTTTTTTTTTTACACGTGCCCCTTTTTTCTAAAAAAATGCTCTTTTGACTTCTTATAAGTGCCTTGTTTATTTTAACATGTGCCTCTTTTTCTTTTTAATAAGAGCCACTTCCCCCATTTTACAAAAGCCCCCTTTCATATCTGGTCAGTGCCCCTTTTCAGGTGCGCTAAGTGCCTCTTTTCGCCTCTGACAATTTCCCTTTTTAACAATGATACGTGTCCCTTTTCCTTTCTAATAAGGGACATATCCCTATTTCATAAATGCCAATTTTTACCTCTTATGAATGTTGTTTTTTCATCCCTGATGAGTGCCTATTTTTAGGGGTAAGAACTGCCTCCTAAAAGGGTCTTCTGAAATTATATAGTTAAAATTAACTGTACATCCTTTTCTTTATGCTAAGATATGAAACATTCATAAAGTTTCGGTGTCCCGATTAATCAAGTAACAAACATGACAACAGACCCCAGCTCGGCCACCTGACGTACAGCTGGTCATCGGTATATCCCGTGGGGTCATTGAACTCGAGAATTTTGGCCCCTCTGATGAAACAAATACAAATAATCTTACTGTACTCTCTCTCAAATTGGTGTTCTAAAAATCACCCTAAGGACATTTTGATAAAATCTAAATAATGATTATTAACATATAATTAATTCCTTGAAATATGGGCTTGCTTAAAAGCGGAAACGTTTCATAAATGCTGACTAGACACAATTAAAACATTGTTTTCACTTCAAACTTATAATCATTTTTATAATGCTAAAAAGCCGCTTTCAATTTTACAAGGCGTGGAACGATAGGTTTGTGCTATTTCATGTTTTTTTTTAATGTGTATGGTATTTTCTTTTTTTCTTTGATATAGGCCCGATGGTTAGGCACGACCCCCCCCCCCCCCCTCCTCTTCTCGGACAAAAAAGGATTCCAAATTATTTATAATAATTGATTTCTAAAAAACGTGCATCAAATATCAACCTTCGACAGGGGAATATAGTATTATAGAAACATGCACATATATGCACATATACATATTTTAAAATCTAAACTGACAAGTTTCTACACCACTACACCAACTCAGATTGTGCGTACTTTCTCACGAGGCTGAGTCACATGGGCTGGGCTGGAAAGTACTTTAAAACGGTCTTTAAAATGCTATAGTTAAAACATACTGAATATCCTTGTCTTTTATATGCTTAGCAAAATTTCTATAGTTTCGGTGACTCGGTGTTCCGTTAAATACAACAATTCTGTTTGATATTGTAGCTAATATCACATACCATTGAACAGGCAACGGGCAGTAAAAGCATTTGAAGCCATTGTCCAGCGCGGAACATCTGAAAACATAGCCAAACAATAAATCCTAGCTCGGTCACTGGACGTCCACCGGTCAAATTTCATTGATGTCACCGCCTCAATAAACTACTGACCAATCAGCTAGCGCCAGGAACCGGTCCCACCTCCGCTCAATAGACAGCGTACAGAGCTTTATCTCCTTTTGAAAACGTGCCGAATTCTATGTAACAGGACTTTATACACTGTTCTTTTATTGAGAGGAAGTGTGATAATACAATGTCAGCTTTAATGTTCGAAATTGTATAAATCGCCAGGAAATGCTAAAAAGCCCCCATTCTGAGCATTCGTATCCTTCAGAGCAACACGAACTCTTTGCAATCAACTTGTACAGCAAATATCTATTTGGAGTATCATTTTATAACGCCAGTTCCTTGCAATATACCCCAATGTCTCCACTGCCTTTCGGCATCACGTAAGTTTTTTTCTGAAATATATTTATTCACAATTTAAAACTAATTTTATGTCTACTGACCAGTAGTATATTCTCTGACTTCACTTATTTGATATCAACTTATAGACTGTAATATCATAAACCTTTATTAGCACGACTTGAGTTCTTTCAAATAATTACAATTTTCTTAATGTAATGTTTATGTGATAGTTTGAATCTTCGAATTTGTAAAAATAAGTAATAATTCATGAAAATGTATGAACATTGTTAAATAAACCATAGCTGGTATCATGGGCAGCATAACTAAATGTCTCCCCTCCCTTTTTATTTTGTCATCCAGGTCCAATCGCAACGATTACGTCATGGACCGTCTACACGCGGCGTCTTCACTTCTGTCCCTTGGGAGCAAGGGTGACCTTTCACCGATCACCATTGAGACTCAAGAACCCGACTTCAACAAGGCCATCGCCTCCGTCATCTGGTCTCGACATCATCATCAGACTCCGTCGACTATCTTCAAATGCGGCGTCCCCAACTGTCCGCTGTGCCCTGCAGGGGATACTTCTAGCACTATTCTGACTGGACAGGTAGACATTCAGCGCAGTGACCGAAAGCCAACGAAGTCGTCTCGTCGATCAACCGTTGTTAACTGGCTGATTTCATCGTCGTCATCCTCGCCAACCTCAACGGCTCCACTTAGCGGTAGCATTAGCTACGGTCCCGTGCCTACGAACTCTCAACCACTACCATCTTATCTTGCCCCTTCCCAGCGATCGTGGGCCGCTCCGGCATCACTTACCGACTCGGTCTACTCGAACTCCGATACCGAAGGCTCGCGATCTTCTCCAACTAGCTCTCTCCCGTCTCCTTCGTACCTTACCGAGATCATCCGATGTTCTCCGATGGTTCCCGCTTCAACGCCGGACATCTCCACGATGCCTACGAAGCGTCAACGATTGCATGAGACATCGAACACTTCATTGAACCTTCCCGGTGAACGCCAGCTGTCTTTCTCCTGCAAGTTCTGTCCCAAGCGATTCACCCAGGCCTCCAGCTGTTCGTTCCATCAGCGAACCCACACAGGAGCTCGTCCCTTCCAATGTCCGTCCTGTCCCAAAGCCTTCGCTCAGAGAACGTCTCTTCGTACTCATCTACGCACTCATACAGGAGATCGTCCCTACTGCTGTCAGGACTGTCAACAGCGATTCGGGGATCTGTCGACGTTGACCAAACATCGTCGTACTCATACTGGGGAACGTCCCTACCGCTGTCAACATGAAGGATGTCAGCGAGCTTTCGCGCAGTCTGGCAACCTGAAGAGACATTACAGGACACATCTTCTGGACCGAAAACTGGAAATAATTACAGTCTGAATGCAGCAACCAAAGAATCTTCATTTGGTAATAGACTTGGGAAAATTTTCCATCTTTTTAAATATGTTGCGAATGTTTTATATTTCGATCAAGGATGTGTGTTGTTATTGCCGAAATTCTTGCATCAAACACCAAAGAAATACTATTTATGATCATTGAAATAATATTATTGCAAGCTTAATGTTAATTTTTGTGTAAATTATTCATGCAATTATATTTTGATATCAATATTACTCGCAGTGCACGTCTCTTTATTGTGTTAAATATAAAACTCCTTGGTGTAAATACAAAGAGAGGTAGAGAGAGGGGATGAGTAAAAGTGTAAGAGGGTTATGTATACTTGTAGAGCAGAGAGAAAGACCGAGATGCAAAGTTAATGTTTGTTAGTTCTCGTCATTCCAGTTCAAATCGAAAGTTGTTTTTCTCAAAAAAAAGTCATAACATACATTGTCTCACTTCAGGTCTTTTTCTTTCTCGAGATCGTGCTTTCTCTATCTTTCTTAACCTCTATCTATCTTTCCCTTTCTCTTTCTTTTCTTCCCGTTTTCTGCTCTCTCACTTCAGCTCCCTCTCTGCTGCTTTCTTTTTCTGTTCTCTGCTTTCTCTCTTGCTTCTCTATATATAACAAAATATGAAGAGAAACCATTAAAAATGCCAAAATCATGTATATGTGTTGTTTTGGTTTGTGGTGCGAGAGAGAAAGTTCAGAAAATGCAAATCTTGGACCTTAGTTATGGGGAGAAGTCATGGATTGATGACCCCAAAAATGCTAAGGAGAGATTTTCAGCCTAGCAGAGAATCTGTTTGAGAGTACGAAATAGAGAAAGACATCATATTTCTTGTTATTGTATGTAGATCTTTGATTAGAACAAATTAAAGAGATTTCTTATTATAGTGACTCGGTAACATATTGCTTCAGATTCTGAAACAAAGTCCTGGATTTAGCTCACGCTGCAATCATAATCATATACCTTTAGGTTAGTCAAGAATCCCATGACTTTTACAAGCCGATCGCCTGTCTGATTATCAAGATATTTATGATTGGAAATCGAAATTTCATTTGTCATTTTCCTGTCGGGTTTTTTAACACTACAGTCTATTTTGGAAAATGTATATGGTATAACCGCTCACTCAAAGATTTTTACTTTTTTGAGGCACTTCATTATCATTTTGAAGCGCATTTTTTTTGTAGGGCTTCCATATTACACCATATCACAGACACTGATAACACGTAGGACCATGTATCTCAGATTTAGCATTGTTAAACGATGCCTTTAACATATTTTCTTTCAATAATACAACAACGAAAACGAATAAAGTGCCTAAATGAATGTCAAAATGTCATTAGGGGCTTTATAGTACACAAATAAGTGAGTACTGCCGTAAGATTTTGTGTTGGTTTCATCAGGGGAGGCGAAATTCTCTAGGTTGATCATTGCCATAAGATTTCTGAATCATGGGGCAACCCACACAGAACTGTAACCCCTGTCTAGTCAAGTCATGTCACAAAGACACTATCCACAAAAGCCTTTCTTCTCCGTAATTTAAATATAACTACGCCAATTGAAGCTACAGACCAGTCCTGCAATCTCCCTCACTACTTCGCGAACTTTCCCACGATCTTGAATAGAAACCCGACACAGATAACACGGATTTATTGCAGTGCTTGAATGGGCGAAGACGGGTTTTAAGTGGCTTTAACGTCTTGATTAAACTTGATCTTTTCTTCTATGTTTAGGATTTGTTTTCATGCACAATACCAGGAAAGCCTGCTCCATTAAATAGATGCTATAACATCAGTTCTTTGAAGTCATTGATTCACCCGATACAAGAGATAAGTGACGTAATAAAATCAAAGTATAACATGGCTGGTATTTCAATTACAGAGTCTATCGCTTTTAAAATGTAGATATTTTTCTTATATCTTATATTCTTGTAAACATATTAATGCCTTTGTGTGTGTGACTGTAATACACAATCTTTGATTGTGTTAATACATATTGTTAAACTTCTTTTGAAGGATGGAAAATGTAGATTTACAGACATCATTCCAACTTGATTATTATCATCATTGCAATATATAAACAGATAAGTCACGCTATTATTACTAAATGGGATGATTGAGATGATTATGAACGCAGTCATATTGGTATTATTTTAAAGAAACACATCCCTCACTGTTTTCATATTTCTTAAAGTAGCTATTTAAAAAAAAAAGATATAATGTGCCCAATACAAACAGTTTTAAATGTATACTTAATACTTTTATGGATGCTTAAAATCGTTGGGATTTCGTAATCATTCGCTTTATTATTTTGGTGCTAATCAGGCCTGTATCATTCGCTTTATTATGTTGGTGCTAAGTATAAATGTTAGATGTGAAAATGATAGTGGAATAGCAACAACCCTGTCGAAAATTATACCGACATTTTACAAACATTCTAGAGGTACTGATTTTCAATGGTAATTTTACAACTGTATATACTTATAGAACGTATTCAGAAACGAGCTTGCAAAATCATTTTAGGACGTCAGTTTGAAAGTTATGAAGCAGCTCTCCCACACCTCTCCCTTTCTCTTTCCTTTAGAAAAAAATGAATTTGATCGATGAATTCTTATGAAATGGCTATATGTTTGAATTTTGATTTATGTCATTTTTTGTGTTATTTCAATTTGAATTGAAATGTATCTTTGTGAAATGGATCGTAATTCAGCCATTGGCTGCGATGGTCTTTTTAATAAACCATTTCTATCTATATATATAGTTTCAAAAACATTTGTCCACGCAGACATTAGTGTGAACTCCCAGTGGCCTGAACAATTTCAATTCAATTTCAAATTTATTATAAGCATTTAAAGCATATTTAAGAGATACATGTTGGACAACAGAAGCGGCGAATGATGAGAATCTCTTCGAGGCTCTTTACAAGCTATTATTAAATAAATGCACATCCTCCCCTTTGGGCCAAGAAAGATTTCTATAGTTTGGCTGCCCCGATTGATCCATTATTCTGTTTGAAATTAGAGCACGCTTCGCACACCCACCACTGTTATTTAAATCCATGCATAAGGTACCGGTATATCAAGGCGGTTCAAAGCCTTTGAAGTTCGTTAACCACGGACATGGGAAACCCGGACACCGTTTTTTTTCGCCAACAATAAAGGGGTGGAAACAAATCAGTCGGAGAGGGGGTGGTGAAATTCTCGGCCAGCGCATATCTTCTTTTTTTTTTGATCGGTTCTTGGTGCTTTTTTGTTGTTGTTTTCATAGGTTTTTATTCTCATCAAGAAAATTGCACATAATTTATATCATTGCATACAAACTGACAAAATAATTTTCATATAGGTCTAAATAAATTTTACATTTACATACAAGGTTACAAATAAAGTTACACATTTACAGATGAAAAATATTCACATAAACAAAATTATATTTTCACATTTAAAAAAGAAAAATCGCAAATAAAGTTTGTACTATTTTCTTGACCAGTTTGCTTATAAATCTCAAATTATTTCTTTTCCGCAATATTTTGTTTTCTCCTTAAATTTCCTTTAGAGACAAAAAAAAAATATATATATATATATATATATACAAAGAGAAAGAGCTAGAAAACACCTACTACCCCGCCCCACATAACAAGTACAACAGTAAACAAAACACACTCCAATATAGAACGAACAAACAGACAAAAGAAAAAGAAAAAGAAAAGTTTTTAACACTTTAATCAAACGATAAATAAGTATTCACAAAAATGATAATCACAAAGATCCTCTTTCACGACACTAGTTTTCTTTCCTCTTCCCTCTTTCTTTATTTCTGTCCCTGTCTCTGTCTCTGTCTCTGTCTCTCTCTCTCTATTCATCATTCAATCTTTTTACCTATGTATCTACCTCTCTGTTTCTGTACTTTCGCTCTCTCTCTCTTTCTCTATTCCTCTGTCACTCGAACTATTGTACGCCAACCAAAAACAGATAAAAACATGTCTACTCTGAACTTGATCATTACTCTCTCTTTACTAGAAAAAAATAACCGAATCGTTGCTTTATGCTTTTTACTTTCTAAATGTAAAGGTGGGTAAAGAGAGAGTGTTGGTGATATAAAGGTTAGCATACAGAGTGAGTCAAAACAAAGTTTACACCTAGACAATTGCTAATTATTTTTAAAATCATCTATGAACAGTAAATAATTATACATCTTATGAAAGAGTGTTTTATCCCGATTCATTTGGTACCATTTTTGTGTGGTATGTGTTCACGCTTGGATGAACACATACAGCACAAAAATGATACCAAATGATTTGAGATAAAACACTCTTTCATAAGATGTATAATAATTTACTGTTCATAGATGAATTTTAAAATAATTAGCAATTTTCTAGGTGTAAACTTTTTTTTGACTCACACGGTAATTGACTTCCAAGCAATTGACCCGGGTTCGATTCCGGGCCAACACAATGATTGTATTGTTATTTAAATTTATTATTTTGTTGTAATTTTATCTTATTTTGGTACGTTCTTCCGTAACTGAAAAAAGGAAAAAGTAACGGTGACCTTCAATTTTTTTTTTGATAATTATTTTCTTTTTTTGTATTGTTGTATATTTAAAACCCGTTGTTGATTCATAAAAACAACATTTAAGGGAACGGTTGTTTACATGATTGAATTAAAGTACAAAGCACTACCTATATTTCGCCTTGAAACAATTACAGGTAGTTTCAAAGCCAACTATATTGAATATATAACGAAGCTTCTGTGGCGCAATTGGTTAGCGCGTTCGGCTGTTAACCGAAAGGTTGGTGGTTCAAGCCCACCCAGGAGCGTTAATTTTTTTTTAATGCGATATTAGCCTTTTAAAATGTTTTTTTACACATATTATCATTTTCTTAATTCATATTTTGTCCAAATTATTTTTTTGATTTTTTTTTCTTGACAAATGAAGAAAGAAAGAAGAAAGGACAAACAGGAAGATAGATTATTAATCCCAGATAATACATTGCGTACCTAAATGTTTTGAAGCTCGAACATCATGTCATAAAACTATTAAAATAGTTTTCATTACATGATGTTCGTGTTTGTTCTCTAGGATTCGGGAAAACATATAAAACATGTCTACTCTGAACTTGATCATTACTCTTTCGTTACCAGAAAAAATTAACCGAATCGTTGCTTTTTGCCACAATTTCACTTTTTAAATGTGAAGGTGGGTAAAAGTGGGAGCGTTGGTGGTATAGTGGTTAGCATAATTGCCTTTCAAACAATTGACCCGGGTCCGATTCCCGGCCAACGCAATGAATTTTGATATTATTTAAATTTCCTTTTTGTTGTAATTTTATCTTATTTTGGTACGTTCTTCCGTAACTGAAAAGTAACTGTGACCTTCATATTATCTTTTGATAATTATTTTCTTTTTTGTATTGGTGTATATTTAAAAGCCGTTATTGATTCATAAAAACAACATCTAAGGGAAATGTTGTTTACATGATTGAATTAAAGTACAAAGCACTACCTATATTTCGCCTTGAAACAATTACAGGTAGTTTCAAAGCCAACTATATTGAATATATAACGAAGCTTCTGTGGCGCAATTGGTTAGCGCGTTCGGCTGTTAACCGAAAGGTTGGTGGTTCAAGCCCACCCAGGAGCGTTAATTTTTTTTTAATGCGATATTAGCCTTTTAAAATGTTTTTTTTACACATGTTATCATTTTCTTAATTCATATTTTGTCCAAATTATTTTTTTGATTTTTTTCTTCCCCCCTCCATTGAAGAAAAAAAGAAAGCCCGTTTTTGATTCATAAAAACAACATTTAAGGGAACGGTTGTTTACATGATTAAACCAAAATAGAAAGCACTACCTTATTTCGCCTTGAAAGAATTACAGGTAGTTTCAAAGCCAACTATATTGACTGTATAACGAAGCTTCTGTGGCGCAATTGGTTAGCGCGTTCGGCTGTTAACCGAAAAGTTGGTGGTTCAAGCCCACCCAGGAACGTTAGTCCTTTTTTAATGCAATATTAGCCTTTTAAAATGTTTTTTTTTACACATTCTTTTAATTCATATTTTGTCCAAATTATTAGTTTGATTTTTTTTTCTTCCTCAAATGAAGAAAGAAAGAAGAAAGGACAAACAGGAAGATGGATTGTTAATCTTAGATAATACATTGCGTACCTAAATGTTTTGAAGCTCGAACATCATGTCGTAAAACTATTAAAATAGTTTTTATCACACGATATTCGTGCTTGTTTTCTAGGATTCGGGAAAACATATAAAACATGTCTACTCTGAACTTGATCATTACTCTCTCGTTACCAGAAAAAAATAACTGAATCGTTGCTTTTTGCCACAATTTAACTTTCTAAATGTGAAGATGGGTAAAAGAGGGAGCGTTGGTGGTATAGTGGTTAGCATAGTTGCCTTCCAAGCAATTGACCCGGGTTCGATTCCCGGCCAACGCAATGAATTTTGTTATTATTCAAATTTGTTTTTGTTGTTGTAATTTTATCTCATTTTGGTACGTTCTTCCGTAACTGTAAAAAGAAAAAAGTAACTGTGACCTTCATATTGTTTTTTTTGATAATTATTTTCTTTTTTGTATTGGTATATATTTAAAAGCCGTTGTTGATTCATAAAAACAACATTTAAGGGAGCGGTTCTTTACATGATTGAACCAAAGTAGAAAGCACTACCTTATTTCGCCTTGAAAGAATTACAGGTAGTTTCAAAGCCAACTATATTTACTGTATAACGAAGCTTCTGTGGCGCAATTGGTTAGCGCGTTCGGCTGTTAACCGAAAGGTTGGTGGTTCAAGCCCACCCAGGAGCGTTAATCCCTTTTTTATGCAATATTAGCCTTTTAAAATGTTTTTTTTTACACATGTTATCATTCTCTTAATTCATATTTTGTCCAAATTTTTATTTTTATTTTTTTCTTCCCCCCTCCATTGAAGAAAGAAAGAAGAAAGGACAAACAGGAAAATGGATTGTTAATCCCAGATAATACATTGCGTACCTAAATGTTTTGAAGCTCGAACATCATGTCATAAAACTATTAAAATAGTTTTCATTACACGATGATCGTGTTTGTTTTCTAGGGTTTGGGAAAACATATAAAACATGTCTACTCTGAACTTGATCTTTACTCTCGCTTTACAAGAAAAAAATAACCGAATCGTTGCTTGTTGCCACAATTTAATTTTCTAAATGTGAAGGTAGGTAAAAGAGGGAGCGTTGGTGGTATAGTGGTTAGCATAGTTGCCTTCCAAGCAATTGACCCGGGTTCGATTCCCGGCCAACGCAGTTCATTTTGTTATTATTTAAATCTCTTGTTTGTTGTAATTTTATCTTATTTTGGTACGTTCTTCCGTAACTGAAAAGTAACTGTGACCTTCATATTATTTTTTTGATAATTATTTTCTTTTTTGTATTGATGTATATTTAAAAGCCGTTGTTGATTCATAAAAACAACATTTAAGGGAACGGCTGTTTACATGATTAAACCAAAGTAGAAAGCACTACCTATATTTCGCCTTGAAACAATTACAGGTAGTTTCAAAGCCAACTATATTAAATGTATAACGAAGCTTCTGTGGCGCAATTGGTTAGCGCGTTCGGCTGTTAACCGAAAGGTTGGTGGTTCAAGCCCACCCAGGAGCGTTAATCCTTTTTTTATGCGATATTAGCCTTTTTAAATGTTTTTTTACACATGTTATCATTCTCTTAATTCATATTTTGTCCAAACTATTTTTTTGATTTTTTTTCTTCTCCCCTCAATTGAAGAAAGAAAGAAGAAAGGACAAACAGGAAGATAGATTGTTAATCCTAGATAATACATTGCGTACCTAAATGTTTTGAAACGCGAACATCATGTAATTAAAACGATTAAAATAGTTTTCATTACACGATGTTCGTGTTTGTTTTCTAGGATTCAGGAAAACATTTAAAACATGTCTACTCTGAACTTGATCATTTCTCTTTCGTTACCGGAACAATTAACCGAATCGTTGCTTGTTGCCACAATTTAATGTTCTAAATGTGAAGGTGGGTAAAAGAGGGAGCGTTGGTGGTATAGTGGTTAGCATAGTTGCCTTCCAAGCAATTGACCCGGGTTCGATTCCCGGCCAACGCAATGAATTTTGTTATTATTCAAATTTGTTTTTGTTGTTGTAATTTTATCTTATTTTGGTACGTTCTTCCGTAACTGTAAAAAGAAAAAAGTAACTGTGACCTTCATATTATTTTTTTGATAATTAGTTTCTTTTTTGTATTGGTGTATTTTTAAAAGCCGTTGTTGATTCATAAAAACAACATTTAAGGGAACGGTTGTTTACAAAGCACTACCTATATTTCGCCTTGAAACAATTACAGGTAGTTTCAAAGCCAACTATATTGAATGTATAACGAAGCTTCTGTGGCGCAATTGGTTAGCGCGTTCGGCTGTTAACCGAAAGGTTGGTGGTTCAAGCCCACCCAGGAGCGTTACTCCTTTTTTTAATGCAATATTAGCTTTTTAAATTTTTTTTTTACACATTCTTTTAATTCATATTTTGTCCAAATTATTAGTTTGATTTTTTTTTCTTCCTCAAATGAAGAAAGAAAGAAGAAAGGACAAACAGGAAGATAGATTGTTAATCCTAGATAATACATTGCGTACCTAAATGTTTTGTAGCTCGAACATCATGTCATGAAAACTATTAGAATAATTATCATAACATGATGTTCATATTTGTTTTCTAGGATTCGGAAAACATATAAAACATGTCTACTCTGAACTTGATCATTACTCTCTCTTTACCAGAAAAAATAACCGAATCGTTGCTTTTTGCCACAATTTAACTTTCTAAATCTGAAGGTGGGTAAAAGAAGGAGCGTTGGTGGTATAGTGGTTAGCATAGTTGCCTTCCAAGCAATTGACCCGGGTTCGTTTCCCGGCCAACGCAATGAATTTTGTTATTATTCAAATTTGTTTTTGTTGTTGTAATTTTATCTTATTTTGGTACGTTCTGCCGTTAATGTAAAAAGAAAAAAGTAACTGTGACCTTCGTATTATTTTTTTGATAATTATTATTATTTTTATTTTTTTTGTATTGGTGTATATTTAAAAGCCGTTGTTGATTCATAAAAACAACATTTAAGGGAACGGTTGTTTACATGATTGAACCAAAGTACAAAGCACTCCCTACATTTCGCCTTGAAACAATTACAGGTAGTTTCAAAGCCAACTATATTGAATGTATAACGAAGCTTCTGTGGCGCAATTGGTTAGCGCGTTCGGCTGTTAACCGAAAGGTTGGTGGTTCAAGCCCACCCACAGGAGCGTTACTCTTTTTTAAATGCAATATTAGCCTTTTAAAATGTTTTTTTTTACACATGTTATCATTCGTTTAATTCATATTTTGTCCAAATTATTATTTTTTTTTGTCTTCCTCAAATGAAGAAGGAAAGAAGAAAGGACAAACAGGAAAATGGATTGTTAATCTTAGATAATACATTGCGTACCTAAATGTTTTGAAACTCGAACATCATGTCATGAAAACTATTGAAATAGTTTTTATCACACGATATTCGTGCTTGTTTTCTAGGATTCGGGAAAACATATGAAACATGTCTACTCTGAACTTGATCATTACTCTCTCGTTACCAGAAAAAAAATAACCGAATCGTTGCTTTTTGCCACAATTTAACTTTCTAAATGTGAAGGTGGGTGAAAGAGGGAGCGTTGGTGGTATAGTGGTTAGCATAGTTGCCTTCCAAGCAATTGACCCCGGGTTCGATTCCCGGCCAACGCAATGAATTTTGTTATTATTTAAATCTTTTTTTTGTTGTAATTTTATCTTATTTTGGTACGTTTTTCCGTAACTGAAAAGTAACTGTGACCTTCATATTATTTTTTGATAATTTTTTTTTTCGTATTGGTGTATATTTAAAACCCGTTGTTGATTCATAAATACAACATTTAAGGGAACGGTTGTTTACATGATTGAACCAAAGTACAATGCACTACGTATATTTTGCCTTGAAACAATTACAGTTAGTTTCAAAGCCAACTATATTGAATATATAACGAAGCTTCTGTGGCGCAATTGGTTAGCGCGTTCGGCTGTTAACCGAAAGGTTGGTGGTTCAAGCCCACCCAGGAGCGTTACTCTTTTTTAAATGCAATATTAGCCTTTTAAAATGTTTTTTTTTACACATGTTATCATTCTCTTAATTCATATTTTGTTCAAATTATTTTTTTTGATTTTTTTTTTCTTCCCCCCTCAATTGAAGAAAAAATAGAAAAAACTATATTGTATGTATAACGAAGCTTCTGTGGCGCAATTGGTTAGCGCGTTCGGCTGTTAACCGAAAGGTTGGTGGTTCAAGCCCACCCAGGAGCGTTAGTCCTTTTTTAATGCAATATTAGCCTTTTAATTTTTTATTTTTTTTACACATGTTATCATTCTCTTAATTCATATTTTGTCCAAATTATCTTTTTTGATTTTTTTTTTCTTCCCCCCTCAATTGAAGAAAAAATAGAAAAAAGGACAAACAGGAAAATGGATTGTTAATCCTAGATAATACATTGCGTACGTAAATAATTTAAAGCTCGAACATCATGTTATGAAAACTATTTAAATAATTTTCATTACACGATGTTCGTGTTTGTTTTCTAGGATTCGGGAAAACATATAAAACATGTCTACTTTGAACTTGATCTTTAACTCTCGCTTTTCCAGAAAAAATAACCGAATCGTTGCTTTTTGCCACAATTTAACTTTCTAAATGTGAAGGTGGGTGAAAGAGGGAGCGTTGGTGGTATAGTGGTTAGCATAGTTGCCTTCCAAGCAATTGACCCCGGGTTCGTTTCCCGGCCAACGCAATGAATTTTGTTATTATTTAAATCTTTTTTGTTGTTGTAATTTTATCTTATTTTGGTACGTTTTTCCGTAACTGAAAAGTAACTGTGACCTTCATATTATTTTTTGATAATTTTTTTTTTTCGTATTGGTGTATATTTAAAACCCGTTGTTGATTCATAAAAACAACATTTAAGGGAACGGTTGTATACATGATTGAACCAAAGTACAAAGCACTACGTATATTTTGCCTTGAAACAATTACAGTTAGTTTCAAAGCCAACTATATTGAATATATAACGAAGCTTCTGTGGCGCAATTGGTTAGCGCGTTCGGCTGTTAACCGAAAGGTTGGTGGTTCAAGCCCACCCAGGAGCGTTACTCTTTTTTAAATGCAATATTAGCCTTTTAAAATGTTTTTTTTTACACATGTTATCATTCTCTTAATTCATATTTTGTTCAAATTATTCTTTTGATTTTTTTGCTTCCCCCCTCAAATGAAGAAAGAAAGAAATAAGGACAAACAGGAAGATGGATTGTTAATCCTAGATAATACATTGCGTACCTAAATGTTTTGCAGCTCGAACATCATGTCATGAAAACTATTTAAATATTTTTCATTACACGATGATCGTGTTTGTTTTCTAGGGTTCGGGAAAACATATTAAACATGTTTACTCTAAACTTGATCTTTACTCTCGCTTTTCCAAAAAAAAATAACCGAATCGTTGCTTGTTGCCACAATTAAATGTTTTAAATGTGAAGGTGTGTAAAAGAGGGAGCGTTGGTGGTATAGTGGTCAGCATAGTTGCCTTCCAAGCAATTGACCCGGGTTCGATTCCCGGCCAACGCAATTCATTTTGTTATTATTTAAATCTCCTTTTTGTTGTAATTTTATCTTATTTTGGTACGTTCTTCCGTAGCTGAAAAAAGAAAAAGTAACTGTGACCTTCATATTATTTTTTGATTTTTTTTTTTCGTATTGGTGTATATTTAAAACCCGTTGTTGATTCATTTAAAACAACATTTAAGGGAACGGTTGTTTACATGATTGAATTAAAGTAGAAAGCACTACCTATATTTCGCCTTGAAAGAATTACAGGTAGTTTGAAAGCCAACTATATTGAATATATAACGAAGCTTCTGTGGCGCAATTGGTTAGCGCGTTCGGCTGTTAACCGAAAGGTTGGTGGTTCAAGCCCACCCAGGAGCGTTAGTCCTTTTTTTAATGCAATATTAGCCTTTTAAAATGTTTTTTTTTACACATGTTATCATTCTCTTAATTCATATTTTGTCCAAATTATTTTTTTGATTTTTTCTTCCCCCCTCAATTGAAGAAAGAAAGAAGAAAGGACAAACAGGAAAATGGATTGTTAATCCTAGATAATACATTGCGTACTTACATGTTTTGAAGCTCGAACATTATGTCATGAAAACTATTAAAATAGTTTTCATTACACGATGTTCGTGTTTGTTTTCTAGGGTTCAGGAAAACATTTAAAACATGTCTACTCTCAACTTGATCTTTACTCTCGCTTTTCCAAAAAAAAATAACCGAATCGTTGCTTGTTGCCACCATTAAATGTTCTAAATGTGAAGGTGGGTAAAAGAGGGAGCGTTGGTGGTATAGTGGTTAGCATAGTTGCCTTCCAAGCAATTGACCCGGGTTCGATTCCCGGCCAACGCAATGAATTTTGTTATTATTTAAATCTCTTGTTTGTTGTAATTTTATCTTATTTTGGTACGTTCTTCCGTAACTGAAAAGTAACTGTGACCTTCATATTATTTTTTTGATAATTATGTTCTTTTTTGAATTGGGGTATATTTAAAGCCCGTTGTTGATTCATAAAAACAACATTTAAGGGAACGGTTGTATACATGATTGAACCAAAGTTGAAAGCACTACCTATATTTCGCCTTGAAAGAATTACAGGTAGTTTAAAAGCTAACTATATTGAATATATAACGAAGCTTCTGTGGCGCAATTGGTTAGCGCGTTCGGCTGTTACCCGAAAGGTTGGTGGTTCAAGCCCACCCAGGAGCGTTAGTCCTTTTTTTAATGCAATATTAGCCTTTTAAAATGTTTTTTTTTACACATGTTATCATTCTTTTAATTCATGTTTTGTCCAAATTATTTTTTTGATTTTTTTCTTCCCCCCTTAATTGAAGAAAGAAAGAAGAAAGGACAAACAGGAAAATAGATTGATAATCCTAGATAATACATTGCGTACCTAAATGTTTTGAAACTCGAACATTATGTCATGAAAATTCTAGGGTTCGGGAAAACATATAAAACATGTCTACTCTGAACTTGATCTTTACTCTCGCTTTACCAGAAAAAAATAACCGAATCGTTGCTTGTTGCCACAATTTAATTTTCTAAATGTGAAGGTAGGTAAAAGAGGAAGCGTTGGTGGTAAAGTGGTTAGCATAGTTGCCTTCCAAGCAATTGACCCGGGTTCGATTCCCGTCCAACGCAATTCATTTTGTTATTATTTAAATCTCTTTTTTGTTGTAATTTTATCTTATTTTGGTACGTTCTTCCATAACTTAAAAGAGAAAAAAGTAACTGTGACCTTCATGTTATTTTTTGATAATTATTTTCTTTTTTGTATTGGTGTATATTTAAAAGCTGTTGTTGATTCATAAAAACAACATTTAAGTGAACGGTTGTTTACATGATTGAACCAAAGAAGAAAGCTCTACCTATATTTCGCCTTGAAACAATTTACAGGTAGTTTCAACGCCAACTATATTAAATGTACATATAACGAAGCTTCTGTGGCGCAATTGGTTAGCGCGTTCGGCTGTTAACCGAAAGGTTGGTGGTTCAAGCCCACCCAGGAGCGTTTATCCTTTTTTTATGCGATATTAGCCTTTTAAAATGTTTTTTTTTAAACATGTTATCATTCTCTTAATTCATATTTTGTCCAAATTATTTTTTTGATTTGTTTCTTCCCCCCTCAATTGAAGAAAGAAAGAAAAAAGGACAAACAGGAAAATGGATTGTTAATCCTAGATAATACATTGCGTACCTAAATGTTTTGAAACTCGAACATTATGTCATGAAAATTCTAGGGTTCGGGAAAACATATAAAACATGTCTACTCTGAACTTGATCTTTACTCTCGCTTTACCAGAAAAAAATAACCGAATCGTTGCTTGTTGCCACAATTTAATTTTCTAAATGTGAAGGTAGGTAAAAGAGGGAGCGTTGGTGGTATAGTGGTTAGCATAGTTGCCTTCCAAGCAATTGACCCGGGTTCGATTCCCGGCCAACGCAATTCATTTTGTTATTATTTAAATTTGTTTTTGTTGCTGTAATTTTATCTTATTTTGTTACGTTCTTCCGTAACTGAAAAAAGAAAAAAGTAACTGTGACCTTCATATTGTTTTTTTGATAATTTTTTTTTTTCTCGTATTGGTGTATATTTAAAACCCGTTGTTGATTCATAAAAACAACATTTAAGGGAACGGTTGTATACATGATTGAACCAAAGTACAAAGCACTACGTATATTTTGCCTTGAAACAATTACAGTTAGTTTCAAAGCCAACTATATTGAATATATAACGAAGCTTCTGTGGCGCAATTGGTTAGCGCGTTCGGCTGTTAACCGAAAGGTTGGTGGTTCAAGCCCACCCAGGAGCGTTAGTCCTTTTTTTAATGCGATATTAGCCTTATAAAATGTTTTTTTTTAACACATGTTATCATTCGTTTAATTCATATTTTGTCAAAATTATTGTTTTGATTTTTATTTTTAATGAAGAAAGAAAGAAATAAGGACAAACAGGAAGATGGATGTTAATCCTAGATAATACATTGCGTACCTAAATAATTTGAAGCTCAAACATCATGTCATGAAAACTATTAAAATAATTTTAATTACACGATGTTCGTGTTTGTTTTCTAGGATTCGGGAAAACATTTAAAACATGTATACTCTCAAC